TGTCCCTTCTCGGCGCTTACTGCCTCCAGCGGCCGAGCGGAGGCGGTGCCGGGAGACGCGGCGCTCGGAGGCCGCTCCTGCCCGGAAGGGAAACGCCGCTGAGGCGAAGAGCGCAGGTTTCCTCACGTACGGAGCCGAGGCGAGCGACTGTCGTGTGACACCGCGCGGAGCTGGCCCGCCTGCGGGGGGGAGGTGGGACCTGCGGCCGTCTCCTTAGCCCGAAGGGCGGGACCAGGACGCCCGGGTGCCCGCGTGTCGCGCGGTCCGTCGTCAGGGACCAGCTTCGGGCAGGGTGTCCTCGGCCCCCTAGAACGCAGGTGAGTGAAAATGACGCCCGCGCTGGGGCGGCGGGGACGAGGCAGAGGCCGCGAGGGCATCGCCTGACGTGACGAAGACGGGGAAGGACGAGGATGAGTGTCTGCCGGGATGAGAAAACTTGCCACAAGTTGTGGAAACAGAAGGTGACTGTTGTTGAAAAAAAGTCTTCGTTGACGGAAGCGCCACCTCAGACAGGCTTAAGGAAAAGGGACACTTTGTTCGAGAAACTGAACAGTCCAGCACTGGACTTCCCAGGCACTGCCACTACAACAGCCTCATTGAATGGCACTTTAGTTTCTGCAGAGAACCCCTCTGTTAAAATTATTTTTTATTTGATTGTTTTGTAACGTTGGCTGCTGTTGTACTGTAGTTTTTATTTTTTTGTAACATTGGCTGCTGTTGTATATTTAATTTTAAAATTTGTTTGTTTAATTGTTGTATAAAAGCTATAAGCCTAAGGAGTTTATACTGTGTGTTTATATATAAGTAAAATAATAAACATGATTTAACTTATGGGGGGTCAGAAATGATTTTTTTCCTTTAAAAGGACTTGTACGTTTGTTAGTTATCTGTTGCTATCTAACAAATTAATCCAAAACTTATAAAAGAACAATAATTATTTGTTATTGCTCACAATTTCTGTAGGTCAGGAATTTGGGAATGCTTTAAAAGGACTTGTACGTTTGTTAGTTATCTGTTGCTATCTAACAGATTAATCCAAAAACTCATAAAAGAACAATAATTATTTGTTATTGCTCACAATTTCTGTAGGTCAGGAATTTGGGAATGAAAGTCTGGTTCAGGGTCTCTCATAAAGTTGCAGGCAACAGAGGGATAAATACCGCATGTCCTCACATAAGTGGGAGTTAAGAGAGACCACAGTGGTGCGTTGGACTTGCAGAGGGAGAGAGCATACGTAAGGATGCAAAGTGGAGTGGGGGAAAGAGGGCTGGGGAGGGAGGTTCAGGATAATTGGGTGAGGGTCACAGGGTATAATCACAATTTGTGTAATAAGCATACTGCCAGTATGGATCTGATCATCACATCTTGGGCACGAGTGGTGACAATCAGCTTTGTACCCCATAAATATTCATAACCAATAAAAAAAAAGTTAAAGGCAGATAGCAGCTGGGGCTGCAGTCATCTGAAGTCTTGACTGGGGCTGGAGAATCCACTTCCTAGGTGGCTTACACGGCAGATGTTGCAATGCCTTTTATGATGAAGCCTTGGAAGAAACACACTGACGCTTATGCAGAATGTTAGAAGATGGTTAGTGATATGGGACATATGAAAAGTATAGCAGGGTAGGGAAATTGTGAGTGTGGGACTGCAATGGGGTAGATTGCAGTATTAAATAGCAGTATTTAAACAACTGTTCAGCGTTACAATGAGAACTAAAGGGAGAAATAAACAAAATCCTAATATATCCTAACCAAGGTATTGTTCCTTCCAATAAACAATGTAGAAGGGAAATTTTTCACTAGTGCTCTGACAGGCCTATAACAAAAATAGTTTTGAATGACTTCAAAACTATTTTTTGAATATTTAGACTATTCAGCATCCTTCAGATCACACCACAGTGGGAGTTGCCTATATCACCTGTTGATAGGACCAGTGACCCTTCCACTTACCTATCCCCAAATAAACTTAAGACTAAGGTGAATAGAGATTGTGAGAGAGACAGTATGTATAATGGAAATAATAAAAATTGTAAAACCCAGTAATGATATTAACAGTCTGTGCAGTTAAGGTGCTCATAGTCAAAGATGTGAACTAGTTAACAGAGAATGAGAATCAGGGAGAGGCAAACTGGGATGGCTAGTCACCCAGATTGCAAATCAATGTGATAAGTGCTCTGAGAAAGGAATGCACAAGGTGTTAAAGCAGCACAAAGCAGGAGGTGTTTAACTTAGCCCCAGGCTCCCCAGAGGAAGCTATCTATTCAAAACACAGGAGGTGTTTAACTCAGCCCCAGGCTCCCCAGAGGAAGCTATCTATTCAAAACACAGGGCTGGGGCTTGAAATCAAAGAGGACTGTAACACAATCAGAAAGTAAGAAGGGCATTCAAGAGCACTGTGTTAGTCTGCTGCTGTTTCTTATAACAAAATACCTGGATCTGAGTGGTTTATAAAAAAAATGAAATTTATTGCTTATAGTTTCAGAGGCTGGGAAGTCTACAGTGCAGGGAACACATCTGGTGAGGTGAATACAGCAGTGCAGGTTGTCACACAGTGAGAAAATGTTGGAGCAGAGAGTGATAGTTCCTCACGCACTCTCCTTTTAAAGCCCTCAGAACCATGCCCTTGACCACCATTTTTAATCCCTTCACTAGGGCATGGTCCTACCATCCAATCACCTCTTTAAAAAGGCTCTACCTTCCAATTACCATAATAGGATTTCTCACTATCTTAACAGTCACAGTGGGAGCAAAGTTTCTAATACACAAAGCTTGGACACAAGCTTCAGTGAGTTTTGGGGGGACATAATTCCACTACATTTCGCCCCTGGCCCTCCAAAACTCTTGTCCTTTTCACATATAAATACATTCATTTTATCCCCAAAGTCTTAACTTGTTTCAACTCAAAAGACCAAAGTTCAAAGTCCCATCTGTGAAATTCAAAACAAGTTGTCTACTTCCAAGATACAATGGTGGGACAAACATAGGTACATATTCCCATTCCAAAAGGGAGAAATAGGACAAAAGAAAGGTGTAACAGGTCCTAAACAAGTCTGAAACCCAGCAGGGCAGGCATTAAATCTCAAGGCTGGTGAATCAGGTACCTTGATTCCATGTTTGACTTCCTCTGCATGCTGGTGTGGGCGTTGGGTCCCCAAGTCCTTTGGCAGCTCCATTCCTATGGCTTTCCTGGCTTCAGGTGATGCTTTAGCTCTTGCAGGCTGGCACTGCACATTGGTAGCTCCACAGGTCTGGGGTCTCCATGGCAGTCCTGCTCTCATGGCTCCACTAGACATGGCACTATTGGGGTTTTTCTGCTGCAGCTCTGACCCTGTGCTTACACTCAGCATTGCTCTAGCAAAGGTTGTCTGCAGTGACTCCACCCCTGTGACAGATCTCTTCCTGGTCCCCTAGAGTTTTCCATACATCCTTTGAAATCTGGGTGGAGGCTCCCAAGCCTCCACAGTTCTGGCATTCTGTGAGTCTGCAGACTTAACACCATGTGGATGCCGCCAAGGCTTCTGGCTTGTATTCTCCAAAGCTGAGTCCAGCCACACCTGGGACCAGTTTAGCCATGGCTGGAGCAGCAGAGCAGCTGGGGTGCTGGTGCTGGAAGCAGCTTCCCCAGGTAGCCCTGATCAGTGAGTCTGTGGAGGTCACCTCAGGCCTGTTCCTCAAGACCATTCTGTCTCCCTGGGTCTTTGGGCCTGAAATGGAAGGGTTGGCCCTACAGGCTTCTGCAATCCCTTCAGTGCCTTTTCCTCCTTTTCTTGATAATCTTTCTTTTGTATTGATCTTCTTAGTAACTTTGAATTTTCCTTCTGAAAATGCTCTCTGCTGCTCTACCACATGACCAGGCTGCAAATTTTCCAAATCTTTATGCTCTGCTTCCCTTTTAAATTCTGGCTTTACGTCATGCCTTTGCTGCCATAACTCAGAGTAGGCTGTTAAAAGTAACCATCCAGCTTCCTTAATGCTTTGCTGCTTGGAAATTTCTTCTGCCAAAAACTCTGGTTCACAACTCTTAAATCCCACCTTACAAAAAGTCCAAGGGCATGGACACAATGCAGCCAAGTTCCTTGCTATGGTGTAGCAAGGGTGATCTTTTGTCCAATTCCCAGTAAGTTCTTCATTTCTATCCCAGACCTCATCATCTGCATGGTCTTTACTGTCCACATTTCTGTCAGCATTCTGGTCACAACCATTTAACCGGTCTCTAAAATCTTCCAAACATTCTCTCATCTTTTTGGCTTCTTCTAAGTCCTCCAAACTCCTCCAACCTTTGCCCATTACCCAGTTCCAAAGATGCATCCACATTTTCAGGTATCTTTATAATAACACCCCACTCCTTCATACCAATTTTCTGTTTTAGTCAGTTTTGTGTTGCCATAACAGAAATACCTGAGACTGGGTAACTTATAAAGAACAGAGAGGTTTATTTGGCTTACGATTCTGGGACAGCTGCATCTGGCACGGGCCTCAGGCTGCTTCTACTTATGGAGGAAAGTGGCAAGCAGCTGGTGGGTATAAGCAGATCATTGGCGAGAGGAAGCAAGAGAGAAAAAGAGGAAGTGCCAGTGTCTTTGTAAACAGCCAGCTCTCATGGGAAATAATAGAGTGAGAACTCACTCATTAAACCCCCCCTCCCCCAGGGAGAGCATTAATCCATTCATGAGGGATCCACCCCCATGACTCAATCAGTTTCCAGCACTGCCACATTGGGGATCAAATTTCCACATGAGTTTTGGAGGAGACAATACATCCAAACTTCATCATTACACTCCTGGCCCCCACAAACTCATGTCCTTCTCACATAAAAAATAGTTATTCCATCCCAACAGTCTCAAAAGTCTTAGCTTGTTCTAACACCAGCTTCAAAATCCAAAGTCCATCCGGTGGTGGCAAGAGCAACCCAGGGGTCTCACATTGCAAGATGGTGGAAGCAGAGAGAGCAGAGAGAGACAGACAGACTCTCCTCTTTTAAAGCCCTCAGAACCATGCCCCTGACCACCATTTTTAATCCATTCACTACAGCGTGGTCCTACCATCCAATCACCTCTTCAAGGCTCCACCTTCCAATTACCATAATTGGATTTCTCACCCTCTTAACACTCACAGTGGGAGCTAAGTTTCTAATACACAAAGCTGGGGGACAAAATTAAGCTTCAGTGAGTTTTGGGGGGACATAATTCAAACTACAGGAGGTTTCTGACCATGAGATCTGATCAATATTCTTGTTTGTTTAACTTTTCAATCCATTTGGAATTTATTTTGAAATATGATGTAATGCAAGGATCTTCTAAATAGACTTAATTTTTTCCATATAAATAATAACCGTTGTCCCTAGCCTACCATTTCCCTATTACTTTATGATGTCACCT